TTGTTTCTTGTCGAACAAGAACTAATAGACTCTCCCAGAAGCTCCACAGCGAATAATGGGGTTAACGGGAAGGACAACGTTGATGACGTATCTGGCTTCACTTAAAGCATGAGTGTACTAGCTATTCAAGTATAAAGCCAAGGTGACATTCTTGACTCTCTCTTTCCAATCCAAAATACTTTGACACGCTGCATTATGGACTAATTCGCTGATAATGCATTTTGAGTTTTGGAAAATGGCATATTGTAATAAAAAATATATGTATATTTTAATTATCTTGAATTGAGAGTTTCTAGATTGTTGCTATCCTAAATTGGAAATCTCTAGCAGCCAACTCATCTTCTGCTGAAAAATTCTAGAAAATAAGAAATTTAGCTTTGTGCCTTTGTTGAAAATTGAAAGGAAGCTCACCAAAGATGTTAGTAGTCGAAGGGCCTATTATTGAACAGAAAAAATTAGAGTTCAAGTTGCTAAGTGCCAACATAAAATTAAATGCCAAAACTTCATCTGAGAAGAGTGCTAAGTTGTATGTATGAACATTAAAGGATGACTTTAGTACCTTCTTATGTCGAGCTATATGATAGGATCACAGATAGTCAGCAGCATCGAGTTGGTTAGATATATTCGGACTTTACTTCCTAATACTTCCTTCTGCTTTACTACTTTTATGTTCATCCTTGACATGCATTTTGGGGCTGAATGAAGTGATAGAATTGCATATGCTATGCAGGTATTGCGAGCAAAAAATCCTTTGTCAAATATCAGTCAGTTGTTTAGACTGGATAATTCCTGTCTGTGAGAGCATCACTTGTTGCCTTCAGGAGGTTGCATCAGTTTTCAAAGCTTAAGGATTATCTGGATATTGATTGTTGCCAGATGGTAGCGTTTGATTTCTTTGAGATGGCTGCATGAGGTCCTCAAATTTCAGACATTGCCTTTGTGTTATTTCTAATGCCTGATCAGGATGATTAAGGGCTTTCAGATCATTTATAATTAAACTCTTAAATGCACAGAAACGGATGACAGGCACGCAAGCTTGAATACTGTAGTTAAGTTGCTGACTGACTTTGCATATATTCATTTTGTCTTCGCTGTTCGTTCCAGTTTACCTCTTTTATCTTTTATTTCTCCTTTCCTATGGTTCTCTGAAAGTTAGTTTGACAGAGATGGTAGAGGATTACTGGTATAGAAACGTTGTTTGAAGTTAGATCAAAATTTTCTTGTCGAAGTTTTTTATTGGGAAAGATCCTGTTTATTCAGGAACAATCTGCTCATGGGAGATGATGGCTGGATTTATAAAGTATTGACACTTTCCGAGAGACTCAAGCATTGGAAGCTGGAAATTTCAGCCTCAAATGCAACCGGTAGCAGGGGAAGATGTGACTCTATTGAGAGAATATCGGGATTTTCCATGGTGAAGGCCGGTCATCCGATAAGATCTTACAGCATGAATTCAAGAGAGCGGAAGGAAGGAGGCAGGGGTTGTATTTAACCACGCCACTTCTTAAAAATGAATCCTAAGAGGACAGCTTATGACGGTAGAACCCTCCTTTTCATAAAAATTACCAGAATGCGTGGGTTTTTTTTGCAAGTAAAACACCGGACAGGTTGGATTACGTCCTGCAGCTATATATTGCATGGTTGTCATTCATTCAACGCTGATGACAATGTATATATATGCTGTCAATATATTGCATAGTTATCATTTATCCAATGATGATAGTGTTTATACTGCCAGTGTAGGAAGGATTAATCCTATAAAATATATATATATATATATATATATATGTATATATATATTAATTTTCAAAGAAAAAACTGAAAGGGAATTTTCAAAAAAAAAAAAAACTGAAAAGGGTAACTATATAATATTTAAAACAAAAATTTGCATATGCTAGTAATTAGTAGTACTACTTTCCAAACAAGTAGTACTAGTAGATAGGGCTAGAAGAAGAGGATGGGATGAGTGGGAAAATCGAGGTTGACAGGTTATCCACCACACAAGACACAACGAGTCCAAGAAGGACTAGGGAGCCAAGTCAGCAAATGTAATGGTCCTTATGGAGCAGGAGGAGCAGTGGTACGTGATGAGATCCGACGTGTCAAAACCCACTTAAGCCCGTAGATTTCTACTGGATCAGAAGATGAGATTCAAAATCTTAAATAGTTTGTTTTGTCTTTTTGTTCCCTATGTGTAAATCAAGACAAGAATCGTGTGGTCGGAGTAGAATTTTACAGTCTCAGAATCGTCCTGTGGCTGGGTGGACAGTAGGATTCCTGTTCCCGACCTCCTTCCCTCCAACGTTACATTTGCTTATTTGCTCAGTGCTGATTGCAGACTGCAAAATTGCGTTGCCCTCCCGACCGTCTATCCATATTCCAAATTCCCAGCACTAAACTCTCTCTCTTTTCACACACACACACTCACTCCCTGCTGCCATTAAAATCATCATCAACAAATATGACAATGGCGGCAGCAGCAGCAGACATGGCCCTAGTCAAGCCCATCTCAAAGTTCGCGGGCGCCACTCCCAGGAGGATGTCACTAATATACAACGACAACGACAATAACAAGAGTGGAAGTTTCAGCCGCCGCAGCAGGACCATGATCAGAATGATGTCCACCTCCGCCCCTACCGCTACCAGTGGCAGTGGTGCACCCCCGCGGCAAAGCAAGAAAGCCTCCAAACAGGGCATCAAGGAGACATTGCTGACCCCGAGATTCTACACCACCGACTTTGACGAGATGGAGACCCTCTTCAACACTGAGATCAACAAGAACCTGAACCAGGCCGAGTTTGAGGCCCTCCTCCAGGAGTTCAAGACTGACTACAACCAGACCCACTTTGTCCGCAACAAGGACTTCAAGGAGGCTGCCGATAAGATGCAGGGCCCTCTCCGCCAGATCTTTGTCGAGTTCTTGGAGAGGTCCTGCACCGCCGAGTTCTCTGGTTTCCTTCTCTACAAGGAGCTCGGAAGAAGGCTCAAGGTAAATGTATAGATATAAAGTATATACCCGCCCCCCCTCCTGCCTCCTACTACTCACCACTTGTTTGTATTCCACCCATCTTTCTTGTTGCTCCTTGATTGATTGATTGGCGGTTTCTGAAGAAGAAATCACTTAGCATGCTATAGCCAGCCAGCCCATGGGAATGGGATGAAACTCAACGCAACAGTAATGACTGTTGCTGCTTCTGCAATTGTCTTATTCGAGTATTCAATCACTCTTGCTGGCTGAACCTCTCCTTTAGTATATGCATCGTTTGCAGTGATAGAAGTAGCTTGTTGACTATCAAGTAATTTCGTCGTGCATTCATTCATTTACAAATCCTGGGGTACAAATTGAACACCTTCGCTGTTTATAAATCCTGATGTTCTTGACTTCTATGAGTTATCAATTGTTGCAGAAAACTAATCCTGTGGTGGCTGAGATTTTCTCTCTTATGTCTAGAGATGAAGCTCGCCATGCTGGGTATGATCTCTCTCTCTCACGCGCACACACGTCTGCATAGCATGTCGTCACGAGTGCTGATGATTTTGTCGGCATTTGGTTGAATTTCTTGTGCAGGTTCTTGAATAAGGGTTTATCGGATTTCAATTTGGCACTGGACTTGGGATTCCTCACAAAAGCCAGAAAATACACATTTTTCAAGCCTAAATTCATTTTCTATGCCACTTACTTGTCTGAGAAAATTGGGTACTGGAGATACATAACCATTTACAGGCATCTTAAGGCCAACCCCGAGTATCAATGTTACCCCATCTTCAAATACTTCGAGAACTGGTGCCAGGATGAGAACCGCCATGGAGATTTCTTCTCTGCATTGATGAAGGCGCAGCCTCAGTTCCTTAATGATTGGAAAGCAAAGTTGTGGGCACGCTTCTTCTGCCTTTCGGTAATAACAATACTCCACCTGCTTTGTTAGACATTATTGATTGTTCTCCACAAAACAACAACCGGGTTCTTGCTCGTCCAGATTGTCTCCCCTCACATCGTTTCAATTACATAATGCAATGCAGGTTTATGTGACAATGTATCTCAATGATTGTCAAAGAACAGCTTTTTACGAAGGCATCGGACTCAACACAAAAGAATTTGACATGCATGTCATCATCGAGGTGAGCCTGCAATCTCAGTACTTAAATTTCTTACCCTTTTATTCCAGATAGCCAGCTGGTTGGATGCTAAAAATCTCAAACCTGAGGCGTTCGTTCATCTCTGCAGACGAACCGCACAACAGCTAGAATTTTCCCTGCTGTACTCGATGTTGAGAACCCTGAGTTTAAGATGAGGTTGGACCGGATGGTAGAGATCAACGAGAAACTGATTGCAGTTGGGGAGAGCGAAGACATTTCACTAGTGAAGAACTTGAAGAGGATTCCCCTTATTGCAGCTCTAGCTTCTGAGTTATTGGCAACATATCTTATGAAACCCATTGAATCTGGTTCTGTTGACATTGCAGAATTTGAGCCACAACTTGTTTATTAGTAAGCTCGCGTCTTTTAGGGTACAAAAGCTAGATGTTCTTGTTCAGTCTGCAGGGAGCACTGTACTGTTGTTCACCATTCTTTTTTTACCGTCACAGAACAAGAACACTACTGTAAAACTGAGGAAACTTGGTTATGCTGAACATATATGCTTTGTTCACCCATCTAATCATGTCTCCCATTCCAGAGATGTATTGAACCAGAAACTTCGTTGGGGTGAGGTGTCCTAAAACAGAGGTCACCTCAACGAGTCTGTATCAGATTATTTGTTGCTAAACATAGGAGAAGAGAAGAGAGGAGTAAACATCAAACGCCCATCTCTATACAACGTTATTCATTTAATTATGGTAATACAACGTTATTCCATCTGTAATCTTTTGTGAGCTTTTTATCTCCCCCAAGACATGTTAGAACAGAAATTTGGACAACCAAAAACGGAAGCTTTGAAAATGTGCAAAAAGCCCAAGGCATCACTTGTATCACTAGTTTTACGGTTATGGAACTCACAAGGCAGCAAAAGGACATGGGAGGAACCAAGAAAAATCAAGGAAAGGTTTTACGTCTAACCAAATAGACCCACGACTGGTTGCTGTTCCTCTTTGTTTAAATGAATGAACTCAATAATTGATACATACACTCCAAACTAAGAACTTCTATTCAGTTGATTATCTTCGAATAAGGAAGCATTTACCTGCTTCAAACTCCGTGGAAAGGGCATGACTACATTATGAATCACGGCTGAACAAATATAGCATGCCAACTTTGAATTCTTGATAGATACAACTGATTTGAAATATCTAGTAACTGCAGATATCAACCCTCAAGGAGGATTGGCATAACTCTGTTATACTTAACGTGCAATCCTTCTTTATATGAGCTCAATTCCGTCCGGGGTCTGGCACAAGCAAAGTTCCTGTATGAAGTTACCCAACTTCCGCATGTACATGATTTCATCTTTATTCATTCAGGTTTTCTCACCTCCTGCTGTTCATCATAACCAATCACTTCATAGTTCTGTGATAAAGCAAACATTGCTTTAAAATTAAATGCACAGCGACAGATACTCTTGTTCTGAACAAGTACCAATTAAGGACTGCATAAGAAGCCCTACCAAACTAATAGAGACACAAGCAAACCTCACATAAGAATGAATAGGGACCTGCAGACATGCACGCAGACACAAACAGAGAGAGAGAGAGAGAGAGAGAGAGAGAGAGAGAGAGAGAGAGAGAGAGAGAGAGAGAGAGAGGAGAGACAGATAGTGGGAAATCTTCTTTCTACAGCTTTGAAAAGAATTACATCTGCAAATAGAAGGATATGAAGACCAAAACAAAGTAAATCTTCCCTTCCAATTTCAGTCCTTACGCCTGTAACTACATGTTAAGGCTACTGGATTACTTACAAATTCAAGCATCTGAGATTCCGATGGAGAACATATCAGTCTGACTTTTCACCTTTTATTTTTGCCTTATCTTTTTCCTGTGACTGCATTAACAATTTGAACATCCAAACAGCAAGCAAAGTTGCCTCCATTGGTGCAAGCCAGTAAACAAGTATATGCTCCTTGGTTATATGGTCCCCACGAGCGTAGGCCCAGCCCATCACCTAGAAAATATCATCAAATGAAAACTAGACCCCATAATGCGATCTTTAATGGTAGAAATAACATAAAAAATTAGTTATGCACTTACTGATGCTGGATTCATGCATCCCCCTGTTAGATCAGAACCAAGTATGTGAAGAGTAAGCTTGGCAAGACTTGAAATCCAGGTTTTCGTGTAGAAACTTCCAGGAATCTTCCTGGCAAGCCCAAGTGACACAATTACAATGAAAAATGTCAAAATTCCTTCTGTCAATGCACCTAGATGGATGTCCACATTGAGTCGTGGACCACTTCCAATTGCAGGAAATGCTTCACGGATCAGCATAACCCCAATAACTGATCCAAAGACCTACAAGCAGCAAAATTAGATATAAATGGTTAGAGCCAATTATTGCAGTAAACTCTAATAAGCAAAAAATCCTGGTATGAAGAAGACAATCAGAAATATATTCAACTCTCTGTGAATAATAAGTTTTTGTCAGGCTCTTCTTCTTTCAACCCATCTCACTAAGTTTTTTTTTTTTTTTTTCATGGGTATATGCACCAACTTTCCAACGCATGCAACTCAAAAGCAGCATAATACATTGCCTTTCTGATAAGGGATAGTCTGTGAGGCAACTCCCCACTCCCAACCCCAAAATAAGAAGCAGAACTTAAATTGTTCTACCTATCAGACTGTTATTCTATACTACTGTCATCATCAAGATAATGTAAAAATTAGCTCTGTCCCCACGTCCCCACTTTCCAGAGCAAAAAATTACTGCATCTATCACACGTTGCTGAATTTGAAGAATTTTATGGCACATGTACAAGAACCTCAAGTTAACACAGAGAAACAGGCTACAGAGGTATATCTGTTGGACAATTGCACCAAGGAAAGGGGAGAAAGAGAAAGAAAATTGTAACTTAAACAAGTCTTATATGAAGTTTGGGCTTTTAATCCCTATCATGTCTCATTCACCTTCATGTTGCTGTAATAACATCAACCGCCACTCTGTATCTCAAAGATAGATAAACTTGTCAAATTTGCAATTGCAACTCAACATAAAAAGCAGAAAAACCCTCCCTGTCGCAAAAGAGGAGGCATATAAGGCATTGTATTATGTTAAATTCCAAAAAATTATAATTTGGACTGACTAAACACCATGTGAACTTAATTAGTGATAGTCTATCCCAGTCATTCCTGTTGATAACTATTTTTCCATCTCATTTTGGGTATGCACCTCCTGTTTGGTTTAAGGAATTGCACCGACCTCCTTTACCACATCCATGTTAGGTCCAAAAGTTACTCACACATTATGACCTTAAAATATTAACAAACTCTTAACTAACATATTATTTTCTTTTTCTTATAGGGATTCCTCTTTTATTTACTTCTTATATGTTTCCCCTTCTTTCTTTCCCTGTTCCTTTGTTGTTTTGTTCTTCTCTTCCTTCGTCTATAACACCATCATATCCAACTCTCATTGATAACACCATCAACCCTTACTGCTCCAGTGCACCAATTCCCATACTTCAAGACCAAATCTGTTTTACCCACTACCACCACCACTTTGCCTGAACACATAAGCAAATACATTTAGAACTGCATTTCCACAAAGATACTTCAACTCATTTCTGACAAACACACAATAGTTCAGGCAAACCACAAAACAGCAAACAGAACCCTCAAAGCTTCATTGGTTCAAGCAAAACTAAGGTTATTGGCATCTTTATAGATCAAAGGGTTCTACCAAAGAGGCCTTAAGAATCAAATGCTAATAAATCAAAATCAAAATAGCTAAGGTAAAAATCCACATAAAAAGAATTAAAACATTAAGAGGCTTTTACAGCTGGAAGAGGCAAAAGCCAGATGAGGGAAGAGCAAGAAGAAGGTGGAAGAGAAGATTAGGAAGAAATGGATGACAGAAAAGAGAAAACGGCATGTGGTGGAAGCAGAGAGGGGGAATTACATACGGAGTGGGGAACCGAGTGAGAAAGAGCATGCGACAAAATCTGGAGAAGATACTACTGTTTTCACATTACTAGAGGATAACAAGTGTGTTTATTTTAATGTTTATGCTTATGTAATTGTTGAGATATGCCAACTTCTTTGCAGATTTTCTAGATTCTTTTTAGTACTAGAATAATTTAGTTAGTTGCTCAATAAATCTAGCTGTTAGGATGTTTGTTAATAGAAGATGATGCTGAGTTGTTAAAAAATATTTTTGCTAAGATTTGTTAAGTAGAAGATTATGTTAATTTGTTAGAAAGTAATTTTGTTGAGATTTTTTTGGAGAATTGTTAGCTGGAAATTATGTTTATTTGTTTCTTGTAAACACTAAAAATAGTTGATGAATGAAGAACATAAGCTCATTTTCAACCCTCAATACAAAGTCTTTAACAACTTTTTAACAAATTTTTTAACAACTTTAGTTACAGTAACCTCAAAAAACTTTTCAAAATTTTTAAACTATACGCTTCAAAATATCCAAAAATTTACACACTTCAAAAAATTTTTCTACAATTTCTACAGTAAGCTACAGTAAAGTTTTAGACAAACACCCAAAAAATTCACTTGCCAAACGGGGCCAAAGTGTTGTTTAGTAGTTTATGCTCTAAATTCCAATAGTAATCCGAACTGTAGACTGTTGCTAAAGGAGTTAATGACAAGCAAGGCTACTGTAATCACATGAGAGGCTATAAGGAGGTTCCTATAATATATCAAACTAGAAAAGAAGTTTTAGTAATTATGGAAAACCTAAGGGTACACATACTTTCTCCCTTATAAAAAGGCTACTATTTGTCATAATATGCTTAAAGGAGACTACTATGTTTTTTACCTTATTTGTTTAGCATGACCATTAACTTCTTCATTCATCAATTGTGAGACATGGATGGCAATCATCAACATGCTTCTGAAAGTGCAACTTCCTATCTTTTACAGCCCCCCAATTGACAAGGTTGAAATCTTCAGAATTCTTTCTAGAAATTCTAATCCAACAACCTAATTGCAACTTAAGCTCATTCGGTTATAAAAAACCTCAGAAGCATAACAGCAATCACATTTCTTCTTTGAAGTTATGACATTTTGGAACACAATATCCACCATTGCACATGTTGTCATCTTGGCAGCTCAAAGCACTTAACCATGATTATACATTAACTATCATTACATGTTAGCTTCTACGAAAAAAATCCCTTTCATTCTTGAAACACTACGTCGGATTAGTCCCAAAGCCGATACTAGCTTATAACACAATATGCAGCAACCAAGGAAAATATCAATCACCAATGAGGAAGGGTATTAAAGATCTATCGTTCAATTCAATTGTCAAGAACAGAAAGAACTCGTAAAAGATACATTGTGATCTATCAGAGTAAACCACAAATTTAAGCTCAAATTTCCAATCCACGAAAAGTTGGCAGTGCCTTTAAGACATCTATTATCTATTTATATATCAAGTCCTTTGTTTTTCGCAAACTTTAACCTTAAAAAATACAAACCGAGTTGGGAACTTAATCAATTGTAATAATCTCTGCATTCTCTTAAAACGACAATGTACAATAATCAAACCATGTGACCGGTATCCTCTTTTAACTAATATATCACTATAATTTAAAAGAAACATCAAAAGGTTGGATCACAGCTTTCCATCAGCTAGAATCTTAACGGCAAAGAAGGGCCATCTACTGCTGCATGGCCAACAAATACCACCACAAACGCGCACATACAGACACACAAGAGAGTGATTGTAGAGTTCTTTTTTCTTGGGGGGTGGTGGAGGTGGTATGGAGGAATGATTCGGTAGCTCAAGTAGAAACCCTCTCAATCTGTTGTTGAGTTTTGGGTTGGTTTGCCACCTTGTGTTGAGTTCATTTAAATAATAAAACGAAATATCAGGACATAAAACATTTTGACAGAGAAAATTGGAATAGCATCAATTAGGGATTCACCTGGATCAGAGCTGAATATGGAAAATCACCATATATTTAGAAATAGATGTCAAACCCATAATTACACAGTTAAGGCACGGTCAATTTTAGCAAATTGAAAAGGAGTAGCCATTTGGTGTCATGCAATTACTGTAGAATTCCCTTTCCACAGTACACATTTTCATCTTGCAGAAAGCTTCTTTTTTTCAAAGAAGCAACAGAATAATTTGGGGAAAAAAAAAACTTAAGTTATGAAGTAATTAAAGCCAACGGGAAATTGGTATGAAAAGAAACAGAAGAAATATATGAAGAAAATAGTGGCAGGCAGAGTAGCATGCACCTGAGCAGGAATCCTGGCACAAAGAACGAAGAGAAACTGGGTGAAATTGCCAGAGACAGCAGAAGAGAAGATGGTGAGTGGATTGTAGCTCCCACCTTTGGTGGCTTTGGCCAGGAAGGCAAAGAAGAACATGTTGATGACAGCAAGAGCATGCTTCAAGATCTCACCTTGGACGTCATCCCTTCCAAAGGCCATGATATTGTACACAAAGATCTTGATCAGCACACTTGACCAAACCCACATAAAGGATATAACGAAATCTGATGCAACCAACACCAATCTCCTTCCCATCACCCCCATTGATTCCATATCTTTTCCTGAGCCCTCACTCCCTGTTCTCATTCTTGGAAGGAGAAAGGGGGGGGGGGCGGAGGATGGTTTGGGTTTTTTTGACTTTGCTGCCCCTTTTTCGTTTGAAGTCTTGGTGGGTATTTGCTTGCTCTGTTTTCCTGGAAGGGGGGAAGCTCAAAGCCGTGTTCTCGTTCCTGGCTAGAGGGAGCGAGCCAGTTCGCTCGCTTTCTTAGGAACCCGACCAATTAGTGCTATGGGTAGTTGGTACACTAAAATCAAATTATGCCAAATTATAATCTACCACAGAATATCCAATCGAACAGAGTCCCCACACCTTGGAGAGGGAAAATTGCAATTTTGGTCTCCATTTGTTTTTTGGATGGCAAACCAATCTATTTATAGAAGAAGCGCTTTTATTTTTTATTTTTTCTTCTTTTTGAATTTTATTCTTTGTCGCGACTCGAGCCCCCCCAGTCCCCACTCTTGTTTGTTTTTTTTTTCCCCCAGAAGGGCTTTTGTTTTGCTTTTTCTTAAACCACTGTCTTGGCGACAAAGAAACCCCATATGATATGATCCTCTCAATAAGAGGAGAACCCACACAACACTAACCAAGAAGACGAAGCAATTTTTATTGTTAAAGAGTTAAATCTGCAAAAACAGTAAGCGGAATCAGAATCCGGCCAGCAATCAAAAAGAATACTCGCAAAAGTAGAATGAGCAGCATAGGCACCGGCTACGACCTATCAGTCACCACCTTCTCCCCTGATGGCCGGGTTTTTCAGATCGAGTACGCCGCCAAGGCCGTCGACAACAGCGGCACCGTTGTCGGCATCAAGTGCAAGGACGGCGTTGTCCTGGTTAAAATTCCCTTCCTGCTATTAAAGTATTCCGTTCTAATCGCACTTAGGGCTTCCAACCGTTTGAATTTTTCTTCATAGAAATTAAAGATCGCTCTTTTTCTCTTTAACTGAATATGCTAGTACCAACGATTGTACCATATCTTTAGGGAGTGGAGAAGCTCATTGCGTCAAAAATGATGCTGCCCGGGTCCAATCGGAGAATCCATGCTGTTCACCGCCACTCCGGCATGGTAAAGTGTCGCTCTTTCTGCTCTATTTTATTCTATCTTATTTGCTGTTTATTCTTTCTCTTTATCCGGTTACAGGCCGTTGCTGGATTGGCCGCAGACGGGAGGCAAATTGTTGCACGAGCTAAATCTGAGGCAACCAATTACGAAAGGTTTTCTTAAGCTTCTGGCTTAGCCTTGCTAATCTTCTGCTTTTGTTAATTGAGCTTTTACTTGCTGAAAGTTTTTGTATCTCGAGCGTTCCTATTACTGATACTTCTCTTTTTCCTTGCACTAGTTCCTTCGTTAATCATGTGTAATGCTGTTTATATATCACGTGAATTAACAAGTAGCACCTAACACATTCTCATCTTTCTAAAGAAAAATGTGGTTTCAACCACGTGTCCCAACTGTTCTGTATAGTTTGAGGAGTTGTCGCTATGCTTTTAAATCTTGGAATGAGATTTGCTAAATGACTGGAAAGAGCTAGACTAGTGTACCATCCCAAGTGGAACACGGAGAGAAGGAAGAAGATGGGCGGTGGAAGTGGGATGCTCATATTGCCAATGAAAAAGAATACTATAAAGTAAAATGACTACCTTGAATACTTCTTATTTCCACCCCGTGTTACCTAATGAGATCAATGTGAAACTGATTATTACCCGTATGAGTTTTCCATATTACTTCCAGATTGTGAATGTTCTGTCTCATCAAATTATTATTCTCAAATACTATGCTAGCATCGATTTGTCTCTTTGCATAACAGGTCCTATATGTTCTTTATCAAGATGGCACTATTTTCCTAGTGGTTTGACATGTCCTGTGCTGTTAAAATTGAACTATTAACCTTAAACTTACTCATACAGAAGGATCCAACAGCCTTTCCTGATAGTGTTTGTTCAGTCACCAAGAAATGAGTACCAGCATGACTCTGTTTATAGCCATCCTTAGACATGGGAAATTGTTGGGATTGATTGCAATTTAGTAATGTTTAAAGTTACATTTGAAAATCTTAAAAAATTATTCTTTGAGATTATAATGCGGGGGTTTGTGTCAATTATTACCAAAATTCCTATTCAAGGTTCCAGGTTTAAGTCAGTCTGCATGTACTAGGTATCATGACAATCTGGATAGAGTGCTTTTGCTTTTCTTTAGATTAAAAACTTTGCTAATTATTGCCTGAATACTAGAAACTGCATTGTTTCTCCAATTTTGACATATGGAAAGCAGACCAAATTGAGCAGCAAAACTTTTTGTTGGATCTGTTCTTTCCTCTCTTTTAAATTTTTGAGTCATGTTGAAATTGTTCCTATTCTTTTTATATTTTTCCTGGTCTCTTACTGTCACATGCTCTTTAGGAGTTTCAGGTGGCATTGGGTACTGCATTATGACTTGGGAAGTAGTGCATTTTGATAAAATTTAATTGTGCTCGTTCAGGGAGCTTTGTGAATTGCATCAACTCCTCTAATGATTAGTTATTGTAAATAAGAAAGACATCCTGTAGCTGAGTGAAGAGGAAACTGTTAGCTACAGTTTCCTTAATTGGCATATTATGAAGAAGATGAAAAAGCTTTTCAGTTCTTTAAGAGGTCATTTAGCTTTCTATTATTTAGTTATCAAGTTATTTGCTGTAAATGTTCTTGATGTATGACTGTAATCTTAGTGTGGATGGGTGTATAATTTACAATTAAAACCTGAAAAACCTAATCACGCAATACTGGCTGTGATTTTACAAAAGCTACTTTGAGCTATGTGTGTTCTTCAGTTCCAAAAAAATGTACCCTGTATTCATGTTCAATTGCCTTGGGAACCTTGAATCTCATCAGACAGTAGTTTTTATCAAAATAGTGTAGTTACTAGGAAATATGCTATGTTTGCAGTTTCTAGTCAATGTACTTCCTATTTACGTATCCTGTCCTGTGGGATGCTTTTGCAGTGTGTATGGAGAGCAAATTCCTGTGAAAGAGCTTGCAGACCGTGTTGCTAGTTATGTTCATCTATGTACACTGTATTGGTGGCTCAGGTTCGATTGTATAAAATACTGCTGTTCTTTTGGTTATCATTTCCCTGAGCTTTCTTTGTGCATCTGGAACTGACTGTTGTAAGAGGATGAATTGCTCCAGGCCCTTTGGATGTGGAGTAATATTAGGAGGGTATGACAGAGATGGACCACAGCTATACATGGTTGAACCTTCTGGTGTTTCTCATGTGAGTTCATGTATTTAATGTTTCGTATGAAACACACATTTGATGCATTTGTCAGTAACTGTACCACTCTAACAATAATTTCCATGAAGATAGGGCTACTGATTTAGATTTATTTGGTCATCTTGGTTGACTTTCATTTCACATATTGATGTATAATGGCATTTGTTGTAGAGGTACTTTGGCACGTCAATTGGGAAAGGCAGGCAGGCTGCTAAGACGTAAGTGGCACATTTGTCCATATGTTCCACTCTTTTATCCATGTTGTTTTTCTGTTATTGTATTCTTTACACCATATATAGCTCTTGTTTGATTAATGTTCTCCAAAATAGGATATTCAACTTATATAGAGGCTCCAATGTCAATTTTGTTTGATCACTAAGGAACTGTTATAAATGATGGGTTCTTACTATCCTTTTTACCAGTCAGGATCTGACCTTCAGAATAAAAATCAGGATTCTATCTTTTGAATGATTAGAACTGACTCCTTCCTTTAGATCCCTATTTGGGCTGTCAGATTGGTTAATTAACTTGGACTTTAGTTTATTTCTTTTACCATTAAAATCATTTTACCTTAAAAGTGTGGGTTAACCTCACAAGGCTTTGTGATGCATGAAGTCTAATAATCAATTTAGCCTTGGTTCCACTTCAGCAGTTCCATATGTTTTGGCCTGTCCTAGATGAATAATATAAAGTAACACACCTAAAATGTATACATTCATCCATACATCTTTATCTATGCATGTGTTTATCCATATCTTTTTCTTTTTCCTGATGAAGTTTGTAATAGAATTCGTTTACAAGAACAGGAAGTCTACCCACAAAATTTAAGTACGGTAACTCTATCATATAGAAATACAAGCAGAAAAGGAGAAGCCATCATGATTTGCTGAAGGAAATCTTATGAAAATTATGCAAAATACTTTGAAGCAGACAAGTTCAAATTTTCTCAAGTTTTTGCTTTCTCAATTTTACAATGATACATGTCCTTTGCATTAACAGTTATATTTCCTAAATACTTCATAAGGCAAATGCATATTTGTTTAACATCCTCTGCTTCCTAGCATATCAGTGTGGTTTATAGTTGCAACAACATCATATGTTCTGAAAAAAACTTGTGCTGGATTTATCACGAGTCAATTCATCAGATGAGTCATGGATACCTCAATGGTTGGGGGAGGCAAAAGAAAAAGAACAAGACATAGCTCCTCAAGCTGCATTATGGGTTTACTCTACTGGGTTCAATGACAGACATTTAGTATCACCCTTGAGCATTTTGCTGTGCAGAATTGGGGGTTTAGCATGTCTTAGAGTAAGAAGTTTCGTATTTAGCCTTCTGTCTTTGGGCCTCAACCATCTACCAGATTGCCCTGCTGAACTTATAGTGATTCTTGATAGATAAAAGACTACCTGAAAAGTCTCAAGAGGTTGCTATAATCTTTATAACAATGCGCTTAAGGATGCCAGTTATCTGTCATCAATTTCAAATAAAGGTATTGGTGCCAGAAATTGATATCAGACAGTCATGTCTGTCATATTTTATATTTGTTTTGTTGATTTTCTCATATTGGTTCTCATTCTGCAAAACCAATCACCCAATTTTTGCTTCTGCATGTTGTCTCAAGCACACAATATTCTTAAGGGAACAGCCATGACTTTAAATGAGGTCACTTCAAGGATGACGCCTAAGACACTTTGAAATAGCATTCTTTGCTAAGACGAGGGTAATCCCTGTTGACTATGTGGTGAGAGCAGCCTCATGCAGTGGACTGCTTTTTTCCACGGGCCATTTTTAGAAGAAAATGGGAAAACTTATTATTCTTGTAGATCCTGTTCATTCTCCTTGTGTCCACTTGTTTATGCATATCTTCTTGTTTTTCTGACACAGTTTTTATATAGTCTTACGAGAATCTTTTTGTCTGCAGAGAGATTGAAAAACTGAAGCTTTCTGAAATGACATGCCGTCAAGGGGTTATTGAGGTAGCAAAAATGTAAGTGTTATTATGCAGTTTCGCTTTGCTAATTCAAAATCAAGTTCATCTTGCACATAGAATCAAGTTCAAAATGGGTATATGTATGCTTTAAATTGCACTCTAGAGTCTCCACACTTATGAAATGCTGCTTGCTGTTTTGATGGATGATCATCTACTCAAGATTTTACAATTGGTTGCTGTTATTGCAAGAGCAATTTTACCTTGAACAGAAAAATGATCCATTACAAGACACACAGATTACTTATTTGTTTCTGACTAATCACTGTTTTGTGGGACCTGAGGTCAGCTATTTGTTTCCTCACCTGTCTCTATTTCTTCCTCTTTCACCATGAATGATGAAAAAAAAGCCCAGATCAAACTCCACTCATCCTCCTCTGCTAACTCCCACTGGGTGTCAAAATCCAGTTGTAGATTTACCACAAATCAAACATACATTTTTTGTCAAAGTTCAAAACTTTCCCATCCAACTTTTTTTTTTGTCGGTATATGTTAGACCATTTTCTTCAACCTCCATTTAATTACCAAGTAAAATATATAGTAAATGTGACTAAAAACAACCCATCTAATTGTTTCATAAAATTGCTCGTATATGTTCTGTGAATTCCAGTTTTGAGTATAAGATAGAGCAATATCCTTTCCAGAATAGGGCAGATATTGGTGGGGAAAAAGAAATAAAAGAGAGGGGAGGCAGGGAAGAAAGGGAGGACATGGTTGTGGAGGTGGGGGGAGAGAGAGGGAGATTAAGTTGTGCTTTAGAAAGGGATGAAGCCTGAAGGGTGAAAGGGCTTTGCCTCGAACTGATAGAGGTGAGAAAAGAGATGTTGGTCTGAATGGTTCCCTGACAAGTTTTCTGTCGGTCACTGCCTGGCTGATAATTGGAGTCATTGCACTATGGGGGGGAAAGTGCTGTCCAGTGCAAGCTGATTTTGAACGCACTAATCTAATCAATTTGGACTTGCACTCTTTATTCATCTTTGACTTGTTTGCTTAATCTGAAATTAGAATTTATGGAGTGCACGATGAGGCAAAGGACAAGGCCTTTGAATTGGAAATGAGTTGGGTGTGCGATGAGTCAAATCGTCAGCATCAGAAGGTAATACTTGGTTGACATCTTAATGCAAATCTTAGTGGTTTTCTTACTCGTCAATTAGATTATTGAATTTTGGAGATTGAACCACTGCGTCACATTTTGTTCTTGCTATATAACTTACAATCAAGTGTAATTTATTACTTGGTCTAATGTCATGGGCTTTTCTCCTAAGCTGAAAATAGCTTCTGCATCATATTTGTGGAAACTCCTGACTTGCTCCCCTTTTGTTGTTGTTTACTAATATTTTACAAGCAGCATTCTTGCACCTTATTGGGCTTCTTTGTTGTATATGTACCTTTTGAAGAGATCTAATACTATTGGGTTTACGGTGGATCTGGAATTGCACCGTTACTGAAGATGACTTGCATTCAGAGTCATTGGTCTTAATTAGATTTTTTCAGATTTACTCGAAAGTTAAATAAGGATGAAGAAAAATTTAGAACCATCAAATAGATGACTGTCTAAAAAAATAATAATAAATGACTAATTTAAAGATCGTGAGATGTTTGAGAAAAAAAAGGCTTATGAATTGATTTATGAATCATGACAAGGTATAGATTTTATCCAGGTGATTGTTTGGAAAATTATGCTACTTTTGACAAATGATCATGAAGACTGTTATGGCAAGTTTCACGCCTAGGACCATAGTTTGAGAAAGGACTCATTTTAATTATTTGGTCGTGCTGGAATGATAGCCGAGGCAATTGCTTAATCATTGTTTATCTAGTGCATGTTGCTCATCTACTCCATATGTTCACCAGATGACAAGCAGAGGAAGTTGGTTGTTTTGTGAATTTGTGCTTCTTAAATTATGACATTAATTTCCTAATTTTGAGGCTTGCTTCAGTTTTCCACCATTGGCAAGTTTGCAACACATTAAAGGAGGTTAATCTTGAGTTCCATTAAAGATCATCGTGACTTTTATTTTGTGTCCCCTTTTGAGGTTTGAGGTACCGTTTATAGGAACGGCGGTTGGTACCGGGGGAAAAACAGCTTTGGTCAACATATGTTGTTCTAGTTTTTGAATGGCATTTTACTTCCTATCGTGCTTTGTCTAAAGAATTGGCAGGCGTTACAAATTTTTTTGTCACGTGCCTTGGAAGATATGCAATACTTTTGAGCTTGAACTGATAACTTTTTTTTTTTTTGGTCTCTCATGTTCAGGTTCCCGATGATCTTTTAGAAGAAGCCAAAGCAGCAGCTAAAGCCGCACTTGAGGAAATGGATGCTGATTAGGAGCTCAAAGCATATGCTTCCTGCTCTTTTAGTCTCTCACTTTTTTGAGAGCATATACTCATCTCGAAAAGCCCTATTCTAATGCATTAACAGATGCCAAACAAAAACCGCATGTTTTTGTACCCTGAATTTTTTGGGTTATTTGGGTGGCTTCTCTCAAATGAGGATTTCAAATTGTTGATTGCCTGCTGATTAGTTAGTGATTTCTAGCGTGCGTCCTTCTAGTTATGCTTCAACCATACAAAGAAGAGGGTTGGATCAGAAAGGGGACGGAGAAGACCAAAGATGTGCTGGATCATGTAGTCTATGATGGATGCCCTGGAAATTATGCAAAGGCAGGAAAATGAGCAACAGAGAAGAAGCTCATGCCAACGTAGCCTGTCTAGCTTTAATTACATTTTACCTCCAACCCAAAACGACCTGCTCTTCCAATTTCCAAAAGCGGCTCATCTTCTAACCCTTCCTTCTCCTCCCTTTCTAAATTCGTATGGGTTTCTCTTCCTTTCTCTCTAACACACAAATCTACTGATTCCTCTTTCCTCTATCTTCTCTGATGGGCATCAGTGGAGAATTTGAAATCTATGTAATTGGTGGATGGATCTCCAAAAGGGCATTGGGTTTTGCTGGGGCCTTGTGGCGAGTGCTTTAAGGAAATTTTTTATCGTCATTTTGGGTCCTGAACTGGTGGTGGTGTTTGTTTCAGGTGATTTTGATGCAGCAGGAGTGGTGGTAATTGCGTACTAGAACGTTGGTAGTCTGAGGAAACGGAGCAATCGACATTAGTTGCGAGGAAAATATTTTCAAAAAGTCAAACTTAAACGTGAGAAAGTACATTTTAATTTTCCGCTGAAATATATGTGCTTGGGGAAATATTTTACAGCCAAACAACGAACCCTAAATGGAACGACGAGTTCTCTTTGCAGGAGTGCATCGAAAAGCTATAAAGTTGCATCCCATTTCATCTTATAGCAGTCGCAAAACCCATCCCTCCATTCACAAAGAGGACGTAGCTAAATGAGGGAGGCATTCATCAATATTATATTTCCTCTCCCGATAGATATGCTTGTATTAAAAAGGTAATCAAGTACTTAATAATAGCAAAGGTAGCAGGTGGTCTCAGAGAATTTAACAATTAGCAACCATCCCAAAGGGGCCAGAAAACCTCATAGTGAAATCTCCAAAAAGCTTGAGCATTTAACAAGAATGCAAACTATGACGAATAAAAGCAAAGAGAAATTGCAGTATGGGAGTCATTTCTTGTGTATTACCCCCCCACCTAAATTTCTCTTATCTTTAATAAACAAAACCATAGAGGGATATCAGAAATGGATCTCAACTTAAACCTAGTGTGCTTTAAAACGTTTGATGGAGTTTGCTACTCGTAAAACACTCGACAACATGGAACTTTCAGAGCAATGACAACAAGACGTTGCATTACATTCATGAGGAAAATGGCAAATATCATTAATTATCTTGCCATCACATGGAAAGAGAAAATACAAAACAAAGGATCATTTTTCATTCCCATTGGCAAGGAGCGGTTGTTTCCGTTCCAATTGGAAAGCCCCTCAACACTTGGGGTTCCCCTTTGACAAGTCTGACTTTCAATTGATGACTATAACAACAAACCAGTTCTCCATTGTCAAGTCTTACTTTCAATTAATGATCACAACAACCGGAAAGAAAAATTATTCTCTTACTTGCATGTTGAACGGCATCATTGCCTTTCACCACGAGCTGCATAATGAGTTCAGCAAGTATGACCCAGTAGCCTGCGTGTTCATCCTTCCTAAATTCTTATCCTAGAGCCTGCACCAGCAGAGAGAGAGAGAGAGAGAGAGAGAGAGAGTAACTCAAAGTTGTGTTATGCAAATATTACTAGCATCAAGCACATGGAAAATCCAACAAAGCGACAATCGCAAAAAATGGCAGCATTGCCTAGAATTACAAGAAAGATGAGTAATATAAAGAAAGTGACTGGATCAAATAAATCAACGAAATACATTTACACAAGTAATATCTTACTTGCCAATGATGTAGGATTCTCTAAATTCGACAAGTTCATTATCCTCGAACAAACACTCGTATATCTGAAAACAATCTGCAGCGGCCATCTTTACAATATATAACAGAACTTGAGACAAAATACAGTGTCCAAATCTACATGAAAAAAAAATAAGAAAAAGAAACATATAGATATTTGGTTACACCAGCTCAACTGCAAGAACAAGCACCACACTTTCCAATCATTTTGTCATGACCGTTCACCTCGTAAATCCTCAGCTTGGGGTTCGTCTGCATGTGTAAATGACTGGGGGAAGCCCAAACCATCTATCAAGAAGAAACAACAGTATCCAGCTGCTGGGATGACCTTGCTGTTCAGTAACGATCTCCAAAGATAGCACTCTGAACCACTATAGCAACCTAGAGGCCTTTTTCCATAAGCATGGCAAATAATCCACAAATTGAACGGAAATCTGCCCAAAATCCTGAAAAGCTATCCCAGAGTCAGAAACTAATGATCTTCCAATCCTGACACCTAAGATAGAAAGAAACGAATCTAACTACCCCTGTCAATTTCCTTCCCATGATCTTCTTCATGAATATGTCTCCTCAACCTTCTTAGCCAGATGTCATAATCCATAGGATATGGTGTTCCGCATAAACTATCAACATAATCTGCAAATGCTTTCAAGACAGCAGACATATCTCCAAGCTTCTGTTGTATCAGCCTCTTTGACCAAGAGGTTTCTCTCCATTGCAGTGCCCCCTCCACAGAATCAAGATCAGGCAACTCTGCACCCGAGGCAAAGTAAAGCATATATACAAGGCTCTCGGCATCAGAAGCCGAGCACAACTTTCCCTCTTGAAGGGCATATGTAGAGGAGAAATGAAGATTCATTGCTGGACGATCTCTCTCCTCTAAGATAGCATGTCCCCAACCAATAAGGACAAAATAAGGCTGCCCCCTTCCAGATGTCACACAAATAACATTCTCAGGTCGAATATCTCCGTGCCGCATTCCAGCTGATGCAGCAGTATGAAGGGCAGATAAACAATCATGGCAGCACCTGATAGCCTCCTCTGCACGGAATTCACCAACTCTCACCATATCAGCCACAGTCCTCCCAACAGGGCTAGTTACTAATATTGGAGTACCACACCAAGGGTGGTCACAGTTCCCGCCTGAGCTTGGTCTCCGACACTGACCAGGGTGAATTACTCTGCCAGATACACTCAATTGTGGCAGATACTTGCTAGACAACCCCTTTTGTTTCATAACACCCAATATCTTAGTTTGCCTCTGAACTTGAAACCACAACTTCATATCTTCCCATGCTGGTTCTAATTGAGTTGGAGGAGAACCAATATATAAAAACAGAGCAGTTCCTGAATCCTTGATTGATGATGCAATATAGTATAGGATCTCACCATCACTCAGAACTTCATTGATCTCATAACCTTGACGAGAGTCAGACTCCTCCAGCCAGAGAACAGATCCTACTTCTAGTTTCATAGACCTTTCAGAACCCAACCTGATGGATTCGTCCTGCACTTCAACAATTTCTGGGGATGCATTACGCTGCTGGTACCTAAATAAACCATTTCCATTCACACTGCTATCACCCAACTGCCTTTCTATTCTCCTGGCTTGAAGCCGAGAACTATGATCAGCAGCCAAATCTTCAACTGAGTTCTTAGGCATGCCAGCATACTGCACAATTGAATGGAATGTAGCAAAAAGCAACTGTAGCGCACCAATATCCCCCCAATTTGCATTGCCAAGCTTGTTCCAGATCCTGTCAACTGGGGAAATTGAAATACGTGAATGATTTTTAATCCACTCAGCAGCACATCCATAGACATTGTTCACATCAGCTTCTAGCTTGTTCACATCTGCTTCAACTTTGACGACCCCACCATACTGAGAATCCAATAGAAGAACAAAAACAGAGTTCAAACTCAGAGGGATATTCGACCTGCTGAAGCTTCTTGCAAGCAACACACGAACAGCAAAAAACAAAGCTTCACCTATCGCCAAGCTAGAAGGCCTGGAGTCGACGTCAAGTGTAGCAAGGGTTTCAATATCAGGCCTTAAAAGTGCTAATTCAAGAACGTCATCCCACTTCCCCAGGGGATGTCTTGGATTCTTCAGCATTATAGCCGTGGCACAAAGGTCCCTAAATCTCCCTTTTGCAATGGCCTTCTCAGCCTGGTAAAACCTCAAGTTGGCATTGTACAGAGAGGAAACATAGAAAGGCAGAGGCTCATCCTGACTCCAAAATGCCTCCCACAAGCACTTGACACTTGCGTGGAGAAAATCTTCAAGAGCAAGATAAGCTGATGCTTCCGCAGCAGCAGATGTAGAAGCATATATGGCATTGGGCATCCGAATGAGCTGCTGAAAGGGAACCCCCTCTAATGCATAATCAAACTTTTGAAGATCTATCAACTCAAAAGGGACATCGAAGGGTGTTGATCCTCGTTCAGCGATCTTGTCAAGCCAACTCTTCAAGTTTGTGATAAAAAGTTTGCTATCTAGGAATCTACGCAGGAATTCTTTGCGATCCTGAGCCTTACCACTAGATGAAATACTGGATTTTTTGGTCCAAGATTCCACTGATTCCCGGTCAGGGGATCCACCTGACAGGTACAATTCCATTCATGAAATACATCAGCTAAATAGTCATCACAATTTGAGCAGAGGGTAGTATTATGTAACTACTGGTGCAGTTGAGCTAGAACCAGCGAATCCATCAAGTTCAACACAAGCACACCCAACAATGAATGAAATGTCAGAAGCAACAAACAGAAAGAGCACACACGCCCACTGCAATCAGAAGCAATCATGGGACCAGGAAAGACCAAGGCAAAACTCAATATCATGCAGCAGTTAATTGAAACAGAAATAACAAGGCACAGCAAAAAAATATTGGAAGGGTCCGTTTGGCACCAGCCGGCCCTGTTCGAAAATAGCTGCTAGATTAACCAAGCATCACAAATAAGGTTACAAAATCCAAAGCAAGTACTAACGCTAAGGATTGCCTAATAAACAAACATACAATTGCCTGAAAGAAGGGGAAAACAAAATCAAAAAGTGGGCAGCATAACTCTCAGACATCAAAAGAAAGGAATTCAGAAAACCTAAAATGAAGCCATAATAATTCGCAAATTCTGGGGCAGCAGTACTG